CTGCTTATCTGCTTCTCAGGGCCTCAATGTGGGTTGAACTTGTGAGAATGCACAGCTCAGTTGCTTCTTGATGCCATGGCAGGATACATGGTGCCACCTGGCTACTTCTGGAGGACTCAGTAGACCAAGTCACTCCAATGCTGGCTGCCAGGCCACTTCCTGAAGCTGTGAGTAGGTAGAGTTGCCTGGCTGCTTCCAGAGCTGATTTGGCTAAGCTACTGGTGGCAGGTGCCCAGCTGCTTCATAGAAAGCCAGGTGGGCAAAATCTCAAGATGGCACTATGTAATGAGAGCCTGGGTAGGAGATGGCTCAATGTGAGCTCTTTCTCTGTGATAATTCAGTACCCCAACAGGTCCCAAATGGGACTCGGGGTATGGGAGGGAGCAGACTTTTGAAGCAGTAAATGGTTCAGGTGTCCATAACTATGAGCAGGCCCTGGTGGCGTTCTTTTGCTTTCCCTTTCTCCCTTAAGCAGAATCCCTCAGTTTAGGCTTGATTTTGAGAGATGGGAACAGCAGATGCTGTGTGTTTAGTTTGTTTTTTTAAAAGGTCGTCTTATATCTTGAATTTATTTCTGTGCTCTGCAATATTTCTGCCAGCTCTCTACTATACTCCAGTGGTGTGCCTCAAACATACCCAGTGAAATAGCTGGTTTTTTTCATTGTTTTGGCCCTTTGCATTCCAGCCACCTTTAGTCATCCATGTAGCTGGATACACAGTCATCTCTTTCTTTTTCTTTCTTTCTTCTTCTTTTTTTTGTTGGTCATGGGGCTTGAACTCTGGGCCTGGGTGCTGTTCCTCAGCTCCTCAGCTCAAGGCAAGCGCTCTACCACTTGAGCCACAGTGCTCCTTCTGGTTTTCTGAGTGGTTTATTGGAGAGAAGAGTCTCACAGACTTTACTGCCTAGGCTGGCTTTGAACCGTGATCCTCAGATCTCAGCCTCCTGAGTAGCTAGGATTACAGGCGTGAGCCACCAGCGCCTGGAACATTCATCTCTTTCTAACCCTTCCTCTTGCTTTCTTCTTCACCCAGTCATCAGCCCACTTGGATGTGGAAAGGCTTCCCGCTTCTCTTGATGATGAGAATTTAGTTGCCTCCTCCTAGCCATACTTGCTAGAAAGAACCTATTGGTATATTAAAGCACAAGTTGCAATTTAAAACTTAGAAGTTTAGTTTGGACCTCGGTGTTCTAAAAATGAGAAAAATTCACATAAAAATCCAGACTTCTGTTTCTCTTCAAGCTGAAATGCTTGGGTGTCCATGATAGACGAGCTTTGTAGCAGGTGCTTTCCTTACTCCTCAACGGTCTGTAGTTTCACAGTTCCAGATGAAATGCTTGGGTGTCAGTGATAGACCAGCTTAGTAGTAGGTGCTTTCCTTACTCCACAACAGGTCTGTAGTTTCACAGTTCCAGATGAAATGCTTGGGTGTCAACTTAGTAGCAGGTGCTTTCCTTACTCCTCAACAGGTCTGTAGTTTCACAGTTCCAGAGCTCCCTGATGTTTACATCTAGCACACATCACTCATTTACATCCCTTTCTGTCTAGCCCTTAGAGGCAATTGATCAACATTTATTTGAGATGAGATTACTGTTCTCCTAATTCTTTGGTCTGTTGCTTCTGGCAAGGGGCTAATCAACATGACTTGGTCCTGGACCACTTAGATTCTGGATACTTAGCAGACATCTGGAATGTGAAGCTAAGGCTTGCCTCTAGAAGTCAGGTACTTTGGGCGTATCTCAAAAGACCTGCCTGTCTATGGGAGGTGGCATTTGTATGTTCATTTGTTCATTCTTTCAGTAGTTTCATACTAAGCCCTAATGCTAGCATTGGGGGTACAGTGATGAAAGAGACTGACAATGTCTGAGCTCAGGTAATTCAGCCATTGGAAGTCTTTGATATCTGTGACCTCCTGATAGTTTACTTTTCCTTTAGTCTTCCAAGCATACCTGCTCTCTTTTTTCCCTAGTTTTCTTTTGTGATCAGTTTTGTGAAGACCAAGTTGAAAGGATAGAAGGGGTTTGAGGGCCCAAGTTACAGAGGAGACCACCACTCCAACCTGACCTGTATTATGTAGTCACTGTTGGATGTCAGTACACATACTCTTCTGACCTGAAACTTTGGACTGCCTTCATAAGTGGTAACAATAGCAACACTAGCCCTATATACCCATGGCTAGTGTTTTACAATATAGTACCTCATCTAAAATGTGAGCTAGATATTATTTCTACTTTACAGATATGGAAACTGAGGCTTAGTAAGTTAAATATAATTTTACCAGAGTCATAAAAAACTGGGATTCAAACTTCGTATTACCTGATACAGAGCTTGAGTTCCTTACCACTGTGCTGGACTCAGTGCTCTAATATTGAACTAATTCGAGGTCCTTTTGTCCAAGATATTTTCTTACAGGTCCCTAACAAGGTGTGAAATACTATCAGCTAAATGTCATACTTTTATTTCTTGTTAAGATATGAAAATTCTTGGAGGGCTCTGTATTTTTCATCAAAACCTTACCTCCTTAACCTATCCTCTGTCAGCTAATTAAAGATCAGCTCCTTAGTAACCCATGCTGGTGGGTTACTGAAGAGATGCATACATGGTGGTGGGTTACTGAAGAGATGCATACATATGACATCTCCTGGGCTGAGTTAGAATAATTGAAAAACCAAAATGAGATCTATATAAAGTAATACTCAACATAGGTTTGGGCTCATAGGAGAACTCTAAGAAATACATTCATTAGGGCAGAACTAAGAAGTGGAGAGAAAATATATGACAAGTGAGGTAGGAGGGCTGAAATACTTGGCCTGTGTGCTAGTGTGGTTCTTTTTTGCTTTCCTGAGCACTTCCAATTTCCTGAGGCTTTACTGCTTTTATGCAAGGACAGAGTTAGAAATGGGGTAGACAAGATGAGAGGCCAGGAAGAGGCAAAGTAAGTAATACCTTGTATCTATCTTATATCTCTTTGCTGAACTGACAGTACCACATCTCATTAACTTTCCATGTTCTCCATAGGCGCTGTAAGGTAGTAGGTTTGGGGAAGTGATTTCTAACTTGGATGTCTAGCCCAGCTGGATTTGCACCTTCTCACTTGTAACTCTTACTCTGGTTTAGAATCCCCCAAGAGGTCATTTGTAATATATGATAGGCAGAATTGCCAAAGCTGCATGGGAATCAGTTGGGACTCAGCTGCCACTTTTTATACATCCATGGTCATTTGAGGTCCTTGAAAAATCCCAGCTTCCCAGAGCTGGTGGGACTTGAACCCATGATCAGCAAAAGGAGTCACCAGCACTCAATCCGGCTGGAAGATTTTTTATTTAGCCACGTGGCGTCTTTCCCCAGCTCACAGAGATGGAGAACAGGCCCGTTTGCTTTTCTTGGGGGATTTTTATAGGAAGAGGGGTTTCACGTAGGTGGTGTTTACCAAAGCAAGCAAGCAAGGTTACAGAAGCAAAACATAGCCTTGAGTCATAAGAGCGTAGGCAAAACATAATTTTGACCTAGTCAGCATGATAGATCCTATCAATGCTATTGACATTATTACAAGTCAAAACATATTATTGGCTTACAGAAGTCAAAACATAACCTTGGGAAGGGGGGTAGTATATTTTAAATTTCAAAACATTAGAAACTCATTCCCATAGTTGGGGGAAAACTTCTTTACAGAAATGATTTTTATTATAAGCTCCTGACTAATACAGCAACTCAGTACAGCTGGTGATAAGCCTCAAGCTTTGTCAGTGGCCTACAGCAAAGTTGTGGTAAACTGTATAGCTGCCAGCCTGGGAAACTTGAGAGAGGGAGAGATGTTTGCTTTTAAGCAAGGATGTTTCTGATTTCACAGTTTTGTTCCTATGGATATCCTTCTTTTCCAAGGGAAAGGGGCTCGGGGAGAGAGTATGTTTCCTTCAGCAGGAAGGACTAAGGGCTAGACCATAGAAAGAAACTTTTTACCAATGAATAGTAACTCAGATACCTTGAATTTTTGGTGGGGATTATCACAGCCCTATGTCTCTATTGCCTTTTATAAATATCTTTGTTTAAATTCTGAAAACAAGCCGGGTGCTGGTGGCTCATGCCTGTAATCCTAGCTACTCAGGAGGCAGAGATCTGAGCATTGCAGTTCAAAGCCAGCCCAGGGAGGAAAGTCCGTGAGTCTCTTATCTCCAAGAAACTACTCAGAAAACCAGAAGTGGCTCAGAAAACCAGAAGTGGCTCTGTGGCTCAAGTGGTTGAGCGCTAGCCTTGAGCTGAAGAGCTGAGGGAGAGGGCCCGGGTCCAGAGTTCAAGACCCATGACTGACCAAAAAAAAAATCTGAAAACAATATGTATAGGCTTTAAATGTTCAATAGTATAGTAGCATGTCAAATAGAAAGCAAAAAGACCCAGCTGGTCATGGTGGCCCATGCCTGTAATCTTAACTATTTGGGAGGCAAAAATCAGGGGATTGAGTCCTGCCCAGGCAAAGAGAAGTTCTTGAGACTCCATCTGAAATCAGTGGTTGGGTGCAGTGACACATCTGTTAAGTAGAAACTTCTCAGCCCAGGCCAGCCCAGGCATTAAGCATAAATTGAGACCTTATTTTTAAAATAATCAAAGCAAAAAAAAAGAGATGTGGCTCAAGTGCTAGAGTACCTACCTTGTAAATGCGAGGCCCTGAGTTCAATCCCTAATGCTGGGGGTGAAGGGAGAAAACCAAAGACTTGTTAATACATCTGCCTAGTATTCTAATTTAATCTCCTCAATATAGTGTAGAATTTTCTGGTGTTTTTTCTTGTGCATTTACAAAAGTATTGTATACATATGATACCATGTTGTATTCATTTAACCATATCATTTCAAACATGCTGGTTCTGAGGCTGACCTTTTGCATATGTCCAACATGTCTGAGAAAGGTAGAGGATCATGGGAGAAGAGTATGCCATCTCCTACTGTTTTCTTTCTGCTTGTCTGGAGCCTGGCAGTGTTTGATCATGGCAGTTTGCTTTTTTGCAGAATAAGTTTGCACTGACCAACCCAGAGAAGAGCAGCATGAAAGAATCAGAGAGAAAGGAAGCCAAAGCTGAAGAGGATCTGGATCCTGAGATTCTGGAGGTGTTTCACCCAACTGAGGAATGGCAGGCCCTTCGGCCAGGTACTAATACCCCTAGTGACATACTCAGAATTCAAAGTATGTCCTTTGTGTTGGGCTCCGTTCAAGGAGCAGCCACTGTCTGACCTGCTGGCAGGGAAGAGGTGAACCATTACAGTGGTAGTTGCTTCTATTTCAGGGCTTGTGGGCCTTCATTTTCCAGCAGAACAGAGAGTATAGCATCTGAATGCACTGGAAGGAAGGCAAGGCAGTGGGTGGCCATGCTTTCTGAGCAAGTGATTGAAAACTTTCTTTCCTTGCACTTCTGAAGCACAGGAGAGGCAGTGACATGTGCCTTGCTCTGCAAATGCTATTTTGGGCTCTGCTGCTCAGCTCAATGCTGCTGAAATATTGTTCACTGGAGAGTCCTGAACACTGGTGCAGGGCAGGAGTGCTCTGTTTTTAAAGGAACCTATGCCAAGAAAAAGGGGCTGGCTCTGGCCTGCTTTTTAAATGGAGTGTCCTCAGAAGGAGCAACCTTCTACCACTATCATGAGCCTCTGCTCAGGGCTTCAAATAATAATAAAAATAGTCAGCAATTGTGGAGTATTTGCCATGTTTAGGTATTATTTTCTAGCATAAATACTGAGGCTCAGGGAGGTTAGTAGGTAAATTGTCCTGTGCCATTCAGCTAACTTATCCTAGGTAATTGGCCTCTGAGACTGGATTTGCTATCCTCCTACTTTGTCCTTCTCAGTCCCAGCTATCCTTGGTTAGAACTCACCATGCTGATACTTGGGACTGTTCTCTATTTGCATTTTCTTGCTGTGGCAAGGTGGATGGCAAGCCCTGGCAGCTGCCATAGTACAGTTCATTAGCTTCTTGCTGATATTCATCACTATGTCCTTACTGCCCTCATAGCTGCTGTGCTGGCAAGGAAAGCATTTGTTGTGCCAGCCAGATTTCTGATAGCAGTATCTCTCCTACTGGGCTTGCATACGGGTAGTTGCTGCCGCAGAAGAATGATAAAGCACCAAAGAAGCCAAGTGGGAGCTAATGGTGTTGGGAAGAAGGAGGTAGAAAAACAAGGGATATTGGGTTCAGCAGCTATAATTTCAAGCTGGCTTCTCCCAACTTTACTGAGAACTGAGCCCCCTGATCCCTGAAGAATAAAGTTAGAGGAACTTTAGGGATAAGGAATAGAAGCTGTGGGCCATGTCCATTGGGTTTATGTAGAATTTCTTATGCCAGTTTTAACCAGACAAGCATGTCAGGCAGGTGGAAGCTGATGTTTTGGGGCCTGTACCCACACTCTATTTGTTCTGTGGTTGGGTCAAGACCATCATCCATACTGTAGACAGAACAAGGCTGATAGTTTTGATCTTGTCTCATTGAGCAGTGGGACTATGGCTAATGGCTAAAAGAAAGAGGTCTTCTATATATCCCTGAGGATGAAGAACCTTCCAAGGGCAACAAGGGTGGGAGGTGACTTCTGGGAGCTTTCTGAAGAACTGGAGTGACACACATGTTTTTACATTTAATTTGATAGCTCTACTGACTTTACACTTCACCATGGAGTTTCTCAAGAGCTTCTATACAAAATTCCCTTGCAGCTTTCCCAAAGTTAGCATATAGTATACTGAAAGAGGTCCCTATAGATCAGAAAGCCAAGTGACTCTGGTTCTAGTCAGACTTGCCTTATCTAGGAAAGAGCATTTTCCATCCATACCCTATCTGCAAGGCAGAACTGGTAAGCAAGATTAGGTGGTAAGTAGGCTTGTTCTACCCACAGTGTCTGATGTGGAGTGATTTGGAGTCTACACCATGAAGTCAGACAAGTAAAATAGACAAGTCTTTATTAAGTTTCCTGTACAGGAATGATAGAAGATTGACCTTTTACTGGTCTATGTACATAGCTGGCTCTTGCTTTCATACAGAATGCTACCAGGGAACTTCCTATATAGCTACCTAAAGGTTAAAAGAAATGTACCCACACCAGGTGCCAGTGACTCACACCTGTAATCCTAGCTAATCGGGAGACTTAGATCTGAGGATCAAGGTTCAAAGCCAGCCCAAGCAGAAAAGTCCTTGTGAAACTCTTATCTCCAATTAACCACCAGAAAATTGGAAGTACAGCTGTAGCTCAAGGTGGTAGAGTGCTAGCCTTGAGCAGAAGAGCTCAGGGACAGTACCCAGGCTGAATTCAAGCCCCACAACCTACAGAAAAAGAGAAAGAAAGAAGGAAGGAAAGAAAGAAAGAAAGGAGGGAAGGAAGGAAAAAAAAGAAAGTAAAAAGAAATGTAGCCAGTCTTCACAACATCTTTGATAGGTAGGTAAATGGGAAGGTAGTGGCAAACAACAGACTCACCAAAGCCACTCTTCAGTTTAAAGCCTGACTTTGCTACTTAGGGAATTTTGGGCAAGCCACAGACTTTTCTTTGGTTTTCCCAGTGGTAACATGAGGGAAATGTCCTGCCTGTCCGCTGCTCAGGAGATGCAGTAGCTGCAGAGATGCAGATGACACTAGATGCAAAGCCCTCTAATTCCTGCTACCAAGACATTACTTCATATACAGCTATTTTAGTTTTCAACAGTAATTTCTCCACACTCCTACAACTGATTATGGAACTGAATGCTCATGAGGGTTGATGAGCATGTGGTTTGCCTTTTTGTGGTCTTAATGGGACTTGGGTTGTAGAGATGTCCACAGTCATGAAATGTCTTCCCTTTGTCTCTCAGTTCTTTGTATGGAGAAGGGTAAGAACAGGTAGAAGGATTAACAGAACATTCCTTGTTCCACACAGGAAGATAGTTCATGCTACTACCTGATTCTCACTTCCACTTCCTGTTTGGGAATTTTAAAGAGAATTCAAATTTATATAGACAGTTATGAACCTCAGTATTGGTATTTTCTGTTCCTTCAGAATTTTTTTTTTTTTTTTGGGTCCGGTTGTGGGGCCTGAACTCTGGGCCTGGGCGCTGTCCCTCAGCTCTTCAGCTCAAGGCTAGCGCTCTACTACTTGAGCCACAGCGCCACTTCTGGCTTTTTTCTTTTTGCTTATGTGGTGCTGAGGAATTGAACCTAGGGCCTCATGCATGCAAGGCAAGTGCTCTACCACTGAGCCACCTTCCCAGCCCTCCTTCAGATTTTTAAAAGGAAGACTAAAACTGATTCTACCAGGGTACATGAACTGTTTTGGTGGTGTGGGCTGAGTACATTTGAAAACAAATTTGCTGCTGCAGTCCGACATACCAGGATAACAATCTATGACTTCATGGGTCTTCCCACCAGGGCAAGTAGGAATAGAGTCCCAGCATACCATCCTGGGGCAGCTATTAGGTCTCTCTCCTAAAGTCTTCCTGCCTCTGTTATTGTCACAATCCTCATTGGGAGTCACTTGTTCCTAGAAGTGATTTTCCTGTCTCTTTTCTAGTTTATTTTGGGATCTGCCTCACCTTACAGAGGCACAGCAAGCATTTGAGTGTGGATTCAGTATCAGCTGTTCACAAGCAAGGAATGAAAGCTGTTTGCTGGCAGGTCCTGCTAGTTCTGGATAGAAAACTCAGAATTTTTCCTAGAACCCTGGACCCCTGAATTCCAGGATTTCATTCCTGTGTACTTCTTATTACAGAATGTTGATTACAGGTAAACTCAGTGGGCCATCTGCTGTCTGTACATTTCCAGTAACTGTACTCATGGTAAGAGATATAGATAATGGCTTATATTTACTGAGCACTGACTCTGCCAAGCATCCTTTGAGGGCAGATGCTATAACTATGCTTAATTTTATAGACAAACTGAGTCTCATAGAGAAAAATGACTTAGCCAAACAACCAGTAAGTGGTAGAGTCAAAATTCAAAGTCAATTTTGTCTGGCTCTTAGCCCCAGCTCATATTCTCCCTGGGGAATAAAAACATGATCTCTATTCTTAGTAGCTTACAGTCTTACATAGGATGCAGATGCAGAGAGAGAGAGGCTGGGGGAGGGAGGGAAGGAGAGAGAGGGGGGGAGACAGGCAGGGATGGAAGGGAAGGGGAGGAAGGGAGGAAGGAAGGAAAAAGGAAGGAAGGAAAGAAGGAAAGAGAAAGAACAAAAGAAAGAAAGCAAGAAAGAAAGAAAGAGGAAAAAAGAGGGAAGAAAGTATTTTTTTGTGTGTATATGTCAGTCCTAGAGATTGAACCTGAGGCCTGAGTGCTATCCCTAACTTTGTGTGTGTGTGGTGTGTGTGTGTGTGTGTGTGTGTGTGTGTGTGTGTGTGTATGAATGTGTGTGTGTGTGTGTGAGAGAGAGAGAGAGAGAGAGAGACAGTGACAGAGAGAGAGAGGGAGGGAGGGAGAGAGAGAGAGAGATGGGGGGGTTAGTACTCTACCACACGAACCACAGCTCTACTTTGGCTTTTGGGTGGTTTATTGGAGATAAGAGTCTAATGGAATTTTTCCCCTGGGCTAGCTTTTAACCGTGATCCTGAGGACTCAGGCTCCTGAGTTGCTAGGATTACAGATATGAGCCATTGGTACCTGGCTTGATTTAGAATGTTTTGATAGAAGTGTTTGGTGCTTGGATGATGTGGCAAGGCACATCAAGAACTTGAGTTCTTGGTTGCTGTTTGATAAATATGAGCCTCTAACTTTACTTACAGTTTTGTTTGAGCTGCTTGATGAGGTTGCTTAGAATTTCTGAACCTTAATTTCTTCATATGAATATGGGGTTGAAAATATACCTACTGTATAGATGGTATAAGAATGAAACAAGAACCAGGGCTCCGGTGGCTCATGCCTGTAATCCTAGCTACTCAGGAGGCTGAGATCTGAGGATCTCGGTTTGAAGCCAGTATGGGCAGGAAAGTCCTGAGAGACTTTTATCTTCAATAAACTACTCAGGACAAGCTGGAAGTGATGCTGTGGCTCAAGTGGTGGAGTGCTTGCCTTGAGCTGAAGAATGCAGGACAGCACCCAAGCCCAGAGTTCAAGCCCCATGACTGACAGAAACAAAACAAAAACAAAAAGAATGGAACAAGAATAACATAGGTAAATTATTTTTGCAGAGGGCCTAGCACAGGGG